GGCATCTTTTGGAGTGAATCCTTCAAAGGTGGATTTTGACACAGCGCGAACTTAAACGGTTACATTTGGCAGCTTCGACAGCACAATTTTTTTTTAAATAGATGTTTTGATTTTTGAAAGAAGTAGAGAAATAGACCGGAAAAAAATATCAACCAACCTCGTATCGAACCGGTGTCATGACAAAACAAACTCAGCTGTGGCCTGTTCAGCGCCTTATCTGCTAGTGCTAACGAAGCAACAGTAAGAGAATTGTGTAATTATATAAATAATAAAACTAGCGGCAAATACCATACTTTGGTGACTTCATCGTTTAGCAAAACAAAAAACAAAAAACAGTTACGCAACGATGCTTTTCATGTCAAAACAAGTCAGTCTGCCAAAAATTAGCTCGATCCTGCAAAAAATAAAAATCGACCCAAAATGCTACATACTCCCTTTTTGCATGAAAGCCTTCAATTAGATTATTCACTCTTGGTTTCTATGTTTGATAGTTGACTCTGTGCCCTCATCAACTATCTTGGGATAGAAATCAAGAGCGAATAGTCAAATTATTGAATAGAAACAATGAGTGGAGGTAAAGGAGAACAAGAAATGCTGTGGGAACATGAGCCAACAGGAAAGGTTCCACAGCTTCTTGGAGTTCTCCCAAACTTTCATAAGTGTTACCATAAATATTTGATTAAAACACAGAGAAAATGTTTTATCTATTTGTTTTAGAAAACAGTTCAAAGAAAGTAATGAATAACACGATTATGACAACTTTTCTGTGTTTTAATCAAATATGGAAAATGACAATTTTAACCAATCAACACGTGTATTTTCTTTGGGCTATTTTATAACATGAATTTTTTATACTTTTCACATTCAGAGAATGCTTTTGAGGAGAACAATGACAATGGATGCTGCAGCAATGCAAAAGAAACTTCACAAGACTAGAAATGAAACCCCCTCCTCATCAGTGGATGCAGGATCAGAGAACCTGGGTGATATCACAGAGAGATCAGAATCACCGAATAAAACAAAGGAGGCCTTGCCAGTGGCTGCAGCTACAACTGAGGAAAGTACAGAAGAACTGAGGAAACTACGTGAAGAACTGGGAGAAGTGAAAAACCAGCTTGTTGACCTCACTCAAGTAAAGCAACTTTTTTATTGCTGTCCTTTCTTTTGAATTCCTGGTTTATTTTTCTAAACTTTTTCCTCCTTTTGATCGCCCAATGAAAATCTTATCGTCCTTTTTCTCAAAGAATTTTCTGTTCTATCACAACACATGGTCTGTGAATGATAGCTTAGTGCATGGCTTAGTTTAGTCTCAGTGTTGTGTAGTGTATATATACCAGGGGTGCTAGCTTATGGCAGAAATTGTTTTATGTAAAAAAAATTTTTTATGTGCAGCTTGTGACAGTCACTAAAAGATCAAGTGTGTTATGCGCAGTGTGTTGTGAACAGGAAACATGTATTTAATTTGTATAAATTATTAGAGCTTGTTGTTTCAAGTTGCTCTGAGACATCATGCACCTCTCAGAAGTCTTAACAGGATTGGCTGAGAAAATAACTGAACAAACCACAGAAACAAAGATCTTAGCCCTTAAAACAGTTGAGGTGTGTGAAACAGGGAGCAAATTAAATTACAGGTTCTGAAGAGGTATGTGGCTTCTGGTTGTTCCTGGTGGTTTGCCAAATTTGTCTCAAGACCACTTGAACTAGTCTTAATCAAAATAACACTTTGATAATGTCAACAGGCTTGTGTTCTTGTTAATGCATGCCTTACTCTTGTTGAATAAGATCTCCTGGTTGTTTCTGTTAGGAGAGAAACTCTCTGATGATAGCAAGAGAAGAACTTGAACATGAACTAGACAGCAAGAATCACACGATCAGAATGCTTCAAAAACAACTGGTAAGTCAAGAATAAAGATGTGGCAGTAGGCTGCCGATCTCTCCCCCTCCCCCTTCACCCCTATTTTATGCCTGCCTTGCTGACTCTGGCAGTGAGGTCTGGAGTACGCTAAGAATGCCTTAGTTGGGGCAGTACCCTTTGGGGGTACTGGATGAACTGAAACCATTTTTCTACTCACCATTCTTTACGCTTCTCCCTGATTAGCCAAAGACCTGGAAAAAGCAATGTGTTTTGGGTAAATAAATATCACTGTGCCTCCTTCTACCCAGTAGTTTATGAGTTCTCATTACTGGGGAGATCTTGGGAATAGTTTAAGAAATAACTAAATACTGAGGATGACCTGCTTTAATAAGCTTAGCGTCATATCCCGGGAGGAGTTTCGACTTCGAGTGGTGCTGGATGACGTGAAAATTGTCTCGGGCTAGTACTGATGATATTCCAAGAATTGGAAGAGTCAGCCTTGGCTATGAACATATGACATATCATAACAACACTCCGAAAAAGGCTGGCAATCCAGCCCAGATTCAACTCTGACCTTTATTTGTTGGATTTTCAGGAAGCTCAAGACAATCGAGACGAGATAGCTTACTTCAAGAGACAAGTTAAGTCTCTGACAGATCAGATACAACAACAGCAACAGAAGATCACAGAACTGAGATATCGATCCACCAGCCCTGGTCCTGTTCCCTTGGGGACGGTAAGGCTTACAAGATATTCATTGTGATGGATACTGCGGAAATCGCCAAACTGTGGAATGCGCTTCAATTTTTGTACAGTGACCATTCCCACTCTTCTTTTGCCAACCCGCTTTATACTACAGGCTGGTGATATGAATTATAAATCGTGTATTGAGACCAGTTACATGTAGTTGCTGAAACTGATGTCACTATATCGAGCTTTCACTGAATCAGGAATTCAACTCAGATGAATTGATCAGTTACTGCATCGGCGACAGTTTTCATCATCGTATGCAGCACGATAAAGCTTTCATTTTAGAAAGTCTAATGAAGATATAATCCTCATGAATTCCTTTTTTAGCTGTGCTCTCAATTAGTGCCTCTGACGTGATATTTTATTACTGAACAGGTTCCAAACTTTCAGAATAAAAAGGAGACAGTGAAAGCAGATATCAGGTTTGTTCATTGGACGGGTAGATTGTTGGCATTCATGACGTTTACTCACAAACCATCGCTCATTTCATTCCCCGCGTCGAAAAGGAGGGCTGTGATTGGACATGAAAATTCCCTACTGGAGATGTAAATAGTAGTGTATTCCATGCAGTGTTTCTGACTGGTTGTAACTTGTTTTCAAATTTTCGCGCGCGAATTGCAACCAATCAGAGAGGGTGGGATGATTTTTTTGCGGGAATCACTGGCTTCTCTCTGTGAGGGATAAAGGGAGGTGACTGTTTTCTAAGTTAACGAAACAGCGAAAAAGAGGGGTTGCGGGTAGTCTAATTGATTAACTGTTTTGTTTGTGCTTCTTATTACTGTCCTTTGTAATTGCATTGCTTTTGGTTTTCCCCGACCCAAACCAAAAAATTTTTAAGGATGGTATTTTATGTGGACAGATCCTGGGGGTACTCCCTATAACGACCTCTACGGGTAGGCTCCGCCCAAAAGGAGGCTTCAGGTACATAAAAGGGTAGGGATTTCACAAGCTGAGGTATATAATAGAGTAGGGAAATCCGGCATTTACGTTTATCGTGAACGGAAACTGAATAAATGATACTTGTTTTTTCGGGAACGGTAACTGAATAAATGATACTTATTTTCCCGTAGTATTTATTTACTCCATTCCAAGAGTTAAGAAACGGGATGCCGTGTTCTTAAGTAGGGCCGGGTGGAGCCTGTAAAAAACTTTGTTGAGTACCCCCCCCCCCCGGGGGGGTAGATAGACAACAACACAATGTATTTGCTTTGTTCTTCTTTTGTCCAGGAACCGCCTGAGAGATGCCTTTGTGAGACATTTAGGAGAGTCATCAAAGGTTAGTAGCTTGTATTGAAATAACTAGTTCGAGCTGAGCACTGACGCAGTTAAATGAATTTATCAATACTAATTTCCGCCGCTTCCTCGTGTCCCGAAACAGCGGCTGGTAATCGAGCCTATAGTAAATCGTTTCCTCGAGATACGTTACTTTGAGAAGTAGAACACGGCAGCATAATAGAAGCATACATAATAGAAGCCAGGTCCCTTACTCTGTAAAACGGCTTGAAATTCTTCCGGAATCCATGGAAAAAAGAATAGGATATAATAAGATGAATTCAGAAGTCTTTAAAATCTGTGAGGTTATATTAGCACGGAAAGAGTCCTCTAAAGACCTTTAAAGGAGCTGTGCCAAGGATAACTAAGGATGGCGGCGGATTTCGCCATTCTCGTTCCCAGAGGCCGCGCTCCTTTTGGTCAGCACCAAGAATCGCGACCTCTGCATGGGAAGGTCCAACACAGGAAGTCCGCGATTCACGGACTTCTGTTGCTCTACGCATACTCGGAGTCAAGTTTGACAAATCGGATTGGCTGAGAGTACGAAACGAATTCTCCGCGCAAGTTCAGAAAATCGGACCCGGCCAGAGGTCGCGATTCTTGGTGCTGACCAAAAGGAGCGCGGCCTCTGGGGACGAGAATGAATTTATTCAAGTTAGTCATTCGTAATTTGTCTCAGTCTTCCAAAGTCTTAGCCGTCCTTGTTTCTTTTTGGTCTATTATTGTGTCTGTAATGTATGTTTTCTTACAATATTTTAAGTCACCAATTGCACCTACCTGGCTGCCTCTGCCCCAGTTCCCTCATTGTAAAATTGAATGGGAGGGACGGGGGCCGCGAGGTATTTATGTAATGGTAAAGTGCCTCATCCCCAGCTCCTGATTTCAAGAGCTTTTCACTCGATCCCTACTCTTGGTTTTGCTTGTTGCAGCAATTAGAGCTCAAGGACGAGGCACATCACCACCACAGCATTATTGAAAAGCACTTTAGATATATCACTTGCACTGTAACTGGAAAGGGCACGGTCACCACGCACCTCACATTCATCTTTGAACATGTAACGAGATATATTCATATTGCGTCCTGTTTTCAGAGTCACATTCAGCTGAGCAAATACATCCAGAAAGCGGAGCAGAACATCACCATGGCTCAGAAAGGTCTTAGCTCGTTATATTCATCACCCGTCCTATCACCTCACGCCAGCACCGAGCATCTGCCGAAAGGTGGTCTTCACTGCACTTTACATCAGTCACCGCCTCATCCATCTCACACACAGACGTAGTGCTCTCTCACTTGACTGTCACGCAATGTTTTTTTTCCAAAGGGGTTAGCATTGTTTGACAGTACCATCGCAGGGAGTTTTCGTATCGTGACACATCTTTTTGAGCGTTGCGTGACCTCAGTGTCGCACTGTGCCATTCTAGGGAATAACGTAGCCACTTAAATCATTTCGTCGTGCACTTTATCACTTTTCTGTTAAGACAAGTTTGAAATTACGTGGCTTTTCATAACACTTTTGGTGCTTGGTAATCCCCTTGCACTTGCGTTTATCACTCGTTCTATTTGCTATGGCACTATATACCAAAGCGTGAATACACATTCTAGATCACCTAATTTGATGACAATCTCTTGCACTGTTTATTGGTACTTACAGAACTCTTGTTTAACTGGTCTGAAGGCCATAGAAGTCCGCTTACAAGCTCCCCGGTTTTATGAGCCCGCTTGGTATATCCCTCTCTCACCCCCCACTTTCCCCTCCTCCCCTACTTGTGAAAGCCCAGAGTTTGTAAGCGAAATTCTAAAGCAGTTCAGGTTAGCCAAGGACATGGAGGTTTACGTGACGTTTATGTCTCCTTCGATCGCGAGGAGGATTGAAAAGGTCACGCAAACTTCCGCTTCGAAAACTTGTTTTCATTGTTACTTTCTTGTTTCAGACAAATCGGGAGCTTCGTTCGAAAGATCCGATTCCCAATCAAGCGTTGATAGAAGCCAAGAGGATTCGGATGGGCGAGAATACGAATCAGACTCTTCTAAATCACGCAGACAAGGAAATTCATCGTCACACACCGGAAAAAGTAACGAAGATTCGGGATCAGAGGCAAGAAAATCTGGGAGAAGAAGCGTCGCTAGTCTAGGGACTTCTGTAAGTCAGGAAGAACCTGATGGGAGAACGTCGGATTCAGATTCGGAAAGGTCAAGCAGATTGCGATTAGCGTCTTCATCGTCTGAAGGAGACGCAGAAAAACTAAACTGTACAGTTTTAGAATTAAATTCCGCCACCAAAACAGGAGTGCGGAAAGATAGTACAGATTCAGCTAAAGGAAGCAGACCCTCCTTACAACGCCCAAGAAAATTGTCACGGTCAAAATTATTGAGCAAGATAGAGTCTTCTCCACTGTCGCATTCATGGACGCCTGGTGCAATTGAAAAGATTGTAAAATCGTGGAGGGAAGCTAAATCGCCTGAGGCGCAGGATAAAACTAAGGAAGACGATAGCAACCTTAAGCATGTGTCTCACGTTCAGTTTCTTTGAAAAACGACGCCTGACAACTGCAACATCGTTCGCTCAAAAAAAGGTTAGAAATGATAGGGAAATACAAGAGAGAAAATAGGGATTCGTAAAAGGGCTATGGATGGT